TCATCAGAGTTCCCCTGATTTGCGAAAATAAGACAGGAAAGGGCATTCTGTCTATAATCGGTATAATCATGGTCTTCATATAAAATGTAAAGAACGTGTTTATTAAAGTGGATGAGGGTTGTTTAATTATGCCTTTGAGAATGCATTGTGAGGATTTAAATGCTTTAGGATGAATAAACGACTGAATAAGGCCTTATTCTAGAGTACAGCTAGTCAAACCATGTTAGAAATGTTTGTAACTAAAGTAAGGCGGTTAATGAAGGAAAATAATGATTTTAAAATAATAAACAGTTATATAGAACGCAAAGATAAAAAATAAATTACTAGAGGACAAAAGTCTATTTGTTAAAGGATGGAGACCAATTTGCTGAAACAAGCAGTCTTTTATTTAAGGATTCATTTATTATAAGAGTTAGATAATGCTATTAACTACTGAAAGGTGAATGCTGCAATAGAAACAAGAAATTATGACATTTGATTCCTTAATTATTAAAGCAAAAACTCTAAAATGTAATAATTAATATACCTGTCATGCGCCAGAGTTTGATTTGCTTGTCGTCTGCAGCAGATACAACTATGGGTAGGGTAGGATGAAAGGAGACCCAATTAACGCCCCGATCGTGACCTTCTAGCACATGCTTAACAATCACATCGCTACCACCGAATAGATCAGTATTTCCTGGACCTGAACTATTACTTGGACTATTTCCGGCTCCAGTGAGATAGCGTATCTGCTCCTGAAAGGAAAAAATGTTTAAAAGAGACAAGGGGATCAAAAGAGAATAATGAAATCGCTTTTAGATTAGTAAATTATTAATAGACTAGTGAAGAAAAAAATAATGCTAATATATGAATATATCAGCAAGGAAAGTTCTACAGGGATAAAAGAGGAAATATGAATAAGGTAACTAATAAAATGGGTTATTAGAATGAATCTCCGGTGCGCGGCAAAACCTTACCTCAATGCCTGATAAGCCACTAGGTGCAACGTTTTTCTTTCGAAGACCAGATATGTCCCATACGCGTACAGTTTGATCAAGAGATGCAGATACTACTAGATCTTCTTTGGGGTGAAATTGCGAGCACATGACGTAATGGCTATGCCCAGTAAGCACAGATACACTGGTGCGGGATTGCCAATTCCATATACGAATAGTCTGATCATCTGAACAACTTATAATCCATGGATACTCCTATAAATGGGAAGCAATGTAGTCGTGATAGTCAAAACGAAGCTATAAAAATTAAAACTATCCAAAAATACTTTATGAAAAAAGGTAGTTCTGATGTAGTCAAGATGGCCAAGCAATGTAAAGAGACATTTTCTTTGCTTGTAATTCCATATGCGTATTTTGAAATCATCTCCACCAGATACAAAAAGTGGTTGATTTAAATGGAAATCGATTCCACGAACAGGACCTTCGTGCTCTTCAAATTTATCAATCAATGTGCAAGTTCGGTAATCCCAAAGCTGAATAGCGCCTGTGTGTAGACTCGCTAAGATCCACGGTCTTTTGGGATGGAAGGCTAATCCTAAAATGGATGTGGAGGAAATATGGAACTAGAGATATTCATGCAAGTGCGAATACTGCATTATAAATTCAATCAAAGAAATATTTGTATAGATATTAAGCCAAAAAGTAACTATAAAAATAAATATAAATACCTTTGACACGAGGTGACTTCGTGTCAAACTTAGCGAGATATGACATATTGGAAGACATGCAATTAAAGTGCCAGATTGGAAGGATTTGTAGCCCGCGGCCAACGGTACGTCAATATTAACTGCCTTGCTCTAGTTGCCATAACTTTTGACTATTTAATAATAAACCATCTATTGTAAAATTATTGCTCCGAAATAAACTTTTCTTGAGTAGCTAATGGTAAGTTTTACCTATGGTGTAGCTTGTAATAAAAGCGAGAATTTAACCTTCATGACCCATATATTTTTTATCGTATAGGGGGAGCCCAAGAGTGTGTGGCTTTTAGTATGGTTTTTTAATATGAAAAGGTCTTGAAATAAATTAATTTAAATCAAACTAAATGTGGATACCCTGATTTTAATCGATTAGATCAGTCGTACTACGGGAAATAAACTCATTGTCTTGCATGAAATTGCTATTATCATAGCTGATTTAACGCGTGAATTCTTTGAGGTATATTATCTGGTTTGTATACTCAGGATTAGTTCTTAATTTATAGAAATAAAATTATAACCTCAAAAATAATGCTTTGGCATAAATCAATGATTGTTGGGATTACTTCCATTTCGTATATAAGTCAATGATGTCAGGGGTTGAACGTGGATGTTCATAGGGCATTATCATTGGTTCGTGTTCCTTGCTATGGCTCAATTATTAAATGTATAATTCTGATAGCCCGTAATTAAGCATCCCTTGGATGAAAGTACTGTTCAGTTTTCCTTATAATCCTAATATCTTGGCCTGCTATTTCAAGTTACTTTCAAATTTTACGAACATGTTTCCTCAGTACCATGCATGCTTCTAAAGCCTAGAGGTGCACTACAATAAAAATTTTATTCAGCAAAATTAATTTAGCAAATCTTTAGAAAAAGGATTACTAAAACACGCTTTAACTCTCTGAAAGGTTGTAAATAAAGTCTTAAGGAAGTTAAAACAACTTTCAACCTTATATTAGGAAATTTATTG